TGTACCTCTGGTGCAAATTACTGACCTCTGTCATCATTTTAAGTGGGGGAACTTGCACAATCGGTGGCTGACTAAATACTTTTTTGCCCCACTGTACACCTACTTAAATTGTTCAATATGTGTAAATTGTCCTTCCTTGTGAAGGAAGAATCCTATACTTCTTGTTGATCATAATTGACTGAAGTGAATTGAAGTGGTCATTTCTCTTTGCCAGGATTTGTTTGGCAGCACTCATTGTAATGGCTAATATTTAGAATAATGGGAAACTCCAAGAATTTATTAAAGATATTTTTATTATTCCATCCATTTTGTGCAATGTACCAGTACCATTAGCAGCAAAACAGCTCTAGACCATGATGCCACCACCAAGCCTTTCTTGAAATGTTTGTCAGACCCAATGGAAAGATGCAGAGAAAAGTCTTAGGTTTGAAAGCCTCACCTTTACTCCTCCAAACATATATTTTGACATTGTGGCAGAGTAGTTCAAGCTTTGTCTTGTCTGATTATAAAACTTTTCTATCCCATTTAACCTTAAAATTTCAGTCGAGCCGAGTTGAGTGATGATTTTGGAACAAGGGCATTTTTCTTGGTCATTGTCCACAATGACATAAAATACTCTTCACTGTGGACAGTGACACTATTGTTTTTGCAGTTTCCAGTTCATGGCAGGCTTCAGTCTTGGTGGTTTCTGGGTTATTCCTGAGTATCCTGACCAATATGAGGGTGACAGTTGGCTCTTCTTCCAGACTTTGGCAAAGTGGCTATGCATCAGAATAACTTGTTTTTGTGTATAGTTGTTTAAGCTGATGATTTTGAATTGGCAGTTGTTTAGATTTGGCTCCAAGAGACCTTCCCAACTTGTGCAAATCTACAATTCTCCTTAGATCTTCACTGAGTTCTGTGGATTTTCCCGTTGTTTTGAGTGTTGGTCAGAGAAATAAGCAGTCCATCATGATCACTGATGAGAAGTTAATAGACTTTGGCCATGTCAAATTAAAGACACAGTACTTTCAGCACCATTATCAAGTGTATGTATTTGAGCCTGTATGTATACTTTTGAACCTGCATGGATTAGAGAAAATCCTAAATAAATGTATACTGTATTGAATTCCAACACTGAAAAACAAACAGTTTAAGGAAGTCATTAAAATCTCCAAATAGCCATGAGATTTATGGCCATGATGAGTGTCTGACCGCAATTGTAAGTTTAATTGTAAGCCAAACCTGGCTAATTTACAGAATATACAGTTTGTATAGCTGGGAGACTTCAAATAAAATCATTGTGTATGTCATTTTCATTCTGTTTTGGCAATTTGGTGAACTTTTAATTGGGGGGGGGG